GGGGATCTCTACTGCGCCAAAGATGCAGTTGTCTGCATTGGCGTGCAGTTTGTTAGTGCACGTGCACTCGAGCACCGCTCTTAGATGGACGATGTGGTTCTCCTCATCCGTCCTCCCGTGCTCCGCACGACTGTGAATGAGAATGTCGTCAAAGTATGTCTGTGCATACGCCCTGTGGGGCCTGAACAACTGCGTCACAAGACGATTAAATGTTACTGGTGTATTTGACAGCCCTTGGGGCATCACCAGTCACTCCCAGAGCATACCGCTCGGAGTGCTCACCGCTGTCAGCGGAATGTCAAACGCTCTCATGAGCAATTGGTAATATCCATCTACCAAATCGAGTGCACTGTACTTCGTACACCCCACCATGTTGTTCTGAAGAACATCCTTTCTAGGAATTGGCGTTTGTGCCGGAATGGTGGCAGCGTTAAGCTTATTGTAAGAATGAACGATACGCCACTTGCCGTTCGGCTTCCAGGCACAAAATCTGGGTGTCAAATGGGTAGACTTACTCTCACGCACCATCCTTGCATCGTGCTTCGCACGAATAAAGGCGTCAATGACGTCGCACTGCTCCTTGGGCAGGGGCCATTGGCGTGTTACGCAGCATTTGATTCCCGGAGCCAGGTCGATCTCATGACGCTCACCTCGGTCCGGGGGTAGGACCGAAGGCGGGCGTCCTCGATGCCTCGGCCCTCGGCCGACCATGTCACCCATGACATGCAGCGACTGCTTTGAAACTTGAGCAGCGCTTAGTGGTTTACGTGCCACTTTACGTGCATCACATGGGCCTCCCTTCGATGCCTCGGCCCTCGGCCGACCATGTCACGCATGCCATGCAGCGATTGCTCCGAAACTTGCTCCACGATCAGCCCGCGAGCCACGCTCGGTACTCCTGTCCTTTGCACCGTTGGTGTCTTCCAACTCGGACATTCCAATGTCTAGCACGTAAACCGTCTCGGTTTAGTGCTCTCGCCAAAAGCGCTTTTGTCTCCTAGAAGAGGTGGGTTCATGACTCGCCAAAGCTCTACCGTGGATGTGCGCGTAGCGCCCAAGGTCTTTGACCTCCAATCAATCCATGGCTCATGGTGTT